GGAGGAGGAAGAGGAGCAAGAGGAGGGGAGCAAGGGGGGGAGGAGGAGGAGGAGGAGGAGGAGGAGGAGGAGGAGGAGCCGCGTTAGTTTGGGAGCACAAGAGGGGCCCGCTCGGGAGCGCGGCCCCGCCTTCCTGCGTCTGCTGCTCGGTCCTTCGCGCGTGGCCCCCTTTGTCTGGGTCCGCGGGGCCTGGGCCTGGGAGGGCAGTGGGTCTGGGGCAGGGGCAGGGGGGGGGTCTGTCCTCGCCCCCCCCCCCCCCCCCCCCTTTCCGTAAGCAGACGCTTCCCTTACCATTCTGCTGCTGTCCTCGCCCCCCGGAAGGTCGAGGCCCATTCCATCAGCCAGAGCTCGACGATGGCTTCACGACGGAGGCGCTAATGCGCAGATCGGCCCTCTGTGGGCCACGTTCAGGCTCCGGAGCCGAATCGGCAGGATGGTGAGGGATGCGAGCCATCACCCGTAAGCCTCCCCCTCCTGTCCGCCGTGCCTTCGCTGATTTTGGACACGCGTACCTTCATCGTACCTTCGGCGCACCTCGAGTAACGTTTCCATTGCTTCTGCAAAAGTAGCGTACCCTCAGCGTACCTTAGGCGTACCTTCAACGAGTGTGTCCGACGTACTTTCAGAGCACCTTCGGCATACCTGCGTAGTTCACCAGGGATCGAGCGCAAATCCAGCATAATTAACGATGGGGTCGTGGCGCTGGGAGTGCGGGCCCAGCAGAATTTGCGATGGATCGTAGCCCAGGGAGCGCGGACGCAGCGTACTTTGCGAGGAATCGCTTGGCCCTTGACATCTCGACTATCAACGGGGCGCGAAGATCCTAGGAAGCTCCAGGTGATCTGCGGCGCGTCCCTTGGCGCGTCCCGTGCCACGTCCCGTGGCACGTTCCCTGACGCGTTCCCTGGCACGTCCCCTGACGCGTCGCCTGGCACGTTCCCTGGCACATCCCTTGGCGCGTCCCGTGGCGAGTCTCCCTGGCACGTCGCGGGACGCGTCCCCTGGCACGTCAACTGGCACTTTCCGTGGCGCGTACCCTTGGCACGTCCAGCGGTGCGTCCCGATGGCACGTCCCCTGGCACGTCCCCTGGCGCGTCCCTTGGGACGTTCCCCCTGGCATGTCCCACTGTCATCGCCCAGTCGCATATGCAATTGAGGTCAATAGAAACGGTTCCATGCCTCGCAGTTTTCAATGTTGTTCTGGGGTCGTGGGTCGAGAATGTTCGAAATTCCGATCGATAGAAACCATGGTGAAGTGAACATGTTCGTGTTGCGGATGCCTCGAGCGAAATGCTTGTTTTGTAGAATGTGTCGAGGATGTCTTGAGCAAAAAGCTTATGTTGTTCCTACAGGTTGCTTCTTTTCTCGGGGCTCGGGGCCAGAGTTCAGAGGATGTCTCAGGCGAAATGCTCGTTCGTCCCAGGTAGGTTTTTCCCAGAAAGGGCTGGGCCCGGGGTCTTCTTTTAGTTGTGCAACTGTCCCCCGGCCCCATGCTGAGGTGGGCCGGCGAACTTCCATGCGATAAGAGACCGAGTCAACGTCCCATTCGGAGTGGAAAAAATTAGTTTCGCGCGTACACGCTTGAGGAAAATGTGTCCCCCATCTCAGATCCTCGTTGCCTAACGGGGTCCGCAGACACCCGCTGTTCTTCGTACAAAGACGTGCGGAGCGTTTTGCGAAGCATCCCCACTACATAGGTAGGTTCAGAGCATTTATCAAAACATCTAGAAAAGTTGACTTGTTGCGTGCCTTTGAGGATGTCTCGAGCACCGCGCTTGTTTTGCAGAAGGAATGTTGGCTTTTTGCGTGTCCGCTCGAGGATGGCGCGCCTTGCGTGCCGAATATCTGAGGATATCTCGAGCGAAACGATTGTTTCGCAGGGCTTGAAAGGCCTCGGCGCCCCAGGATGTCAAAAGGGTTCCGGGAGTGAGGTTGGACCGTTATTTACGAGGGATCGTGGCCTTGGGACCGCGGATACTGCGTAATGTACGAAGGATCTTGGCCCTGGGAGGGCGGACGCAGCGTAATTGGCGAGGGATCTTGGCCTTGGAGGCGCGGACACCTTCGAATTTACGATGGATCCTGGCCCTAGGAGCGCGGACATAATATAATGTACGAAGGATCTTGGCCTTGGGAGCGCGGACGCAGCGCGTAATTTACGATGGATCGTGGCCCTGAACGCGCGAGCGCATTTCAATTTACGAGGGATCGTGGCCCTGGGAGCGCGCATTCACTGCAATGTAGGAGGGACCGCGGTCTTGAGGAAGAAGCCAGCGTAATGTGCGAGGGATCGCTGCATTGGGCACGCGGACGCAGCGTGATTTATGAGGACTCGCGGCTTCGGGTCTAGCGCTTGATGTTCAGGAATCGGCGAGGGTACCAACAAGCTCCTCCCGAACACATATTCCAATACAGAAAAGTATTGGTTCCTGCTCTGGAGACGGGGGTGCCTTTTGGGCACGGAAACAGCGCAATTCATTAGAGATCGTTGCTTTGGGAGCGCGGACGCAGCGTAATGTACAAGGGATCGTCGCCCTCGGAGCGCGAACCCAGCGTGCTGTACGGTGGATCTTGGCCCTCAGAGCGCGAACCCAGAGTAAGTTATTATGGATCGTGGCTTTGTGGGCGCGGACATCGCGTAATGTGCAAGGGATCGTGGCCCAGGGAACGCGAACCCAGCGTAATTTACGAGGGGCGTGGCCCTGGGAGCGCGAGCACGATTTATTGCACAAAGGATCGTAACCCTGGGAGCGCGAACCCAGCGTCATGTGCAAGGGGGCGCGGCCCTCGGAGCGCGAACCCAGCGCAACGTAGAAGGGATCTTGGCCCTGGGAGCGCAGAGGCACCGCAACTCACGAGGGATCGCGGCCCAGGTGGCGAGGACGCAGCGCAATTTGCGCGGGGCCGTGGCCTTGGGAGCGTGAACCCCGCATAAGCTACGAGTGATCGTGGCCCTGGGAGCGCGACTCCAGCGTAAGTTACGAGGGATCCTTGCGTTGGGAGCGCGAACCCAGCGTAATGTACAAGGGAGCGTGGCCCTGGGAGCGCGGAGGCAGCGCAAGTCGCGAGGTATCGCGGCCTTGGGAGCGCGGGCGCAGCGCGATTTACGAGCGATCGTGGCCCCGGGAGCGCGGCCTCGCCGTAATGCGTCCGTCGTGTGTGGCCCTTTCTGGGTCCGCGGGGTCTGGGGGAGCGAGGGTCTGGGGGAGCGGGGGGAGTGGGAGGTCTGTCCTCCCCGCCCCCGCTCCTGTCCACCCTCTGCGTGCGTTCAGGCTACCTTCGCTGAGTTTGACGCGCGTACCTTCACCGGACCTTCGGCGTACCTTCGAAAAGCAATACAGACCTCGCGCACCTTCAGCGTACCTTCAAAGAGTATGTCCGACGTACCTTCAGAGTACCTTCGGCATACCTCCGGTATACCCGTGTCCTTTACCAGATACCGACCGTGATTTAAGATGAATCATGGCATTGGGAGCTCGACTCCAGTGTAACTTGCATGGGGTCGTGGCTCTGGGAGCGCGGACGCTGCTTAATTTACAAGAGATCGTGACCTTGGGGGAGCAGACGCAGCATCACTTACTAGTGATCGTGGCGTTGGGAGTGCGGGCCCAGCGGAATTTGCGATGGATCGTAGCCCAGGGAGCCAATGCTGCGTATTTTACGAGGGATCGCGTGGCCCTTGACATCTCGACTGATAATGGGGCGCGGAGATCTTAGGAGGCTCCAGCTGATCCGTCCCGTGGCACGCCCCCCTGGCACGCGCGGCGCGTCCCCTGGCACGTCCCGTGGCATGCCCACTGGCACGTTCTGTGGCGCGTTCCGATGGCACGTCCCGCGGTGCGTTCCCGTGGCACGTCCCTTGGCACGTTCCATGGCGCGCCCCTTGGGGCGTTCCGCGGCGCGTCCCCCTGGCATGTCCCTTGGCGCCTTGGCGCATCCCGTGGCATGTCCCTTGGCGCGTCCCCCGGCACATCTTTGTGCGGCACGGCATAGCGCTGCGCAGCGCAACACAGCTCCTGGCACAGCATCATCACCATCGATCTCTTCAGCATTGCCACTGCCCATCGCCCAATGGAGGTCCTCTGAAGCTTTCATGCCTCGCAGTTCTGAATCCCTTTCCGGGTTCGTGGGTCGATCATGTTGATTGTACGGTCGGACCGAGGTATAAGATCGACGTCGGCTCGGGGAGGGTACCCTAATGTTCTTCGTGTTTGTTTGATGTTATTGTGCATCCTGGGGGAGCGTACGGCTGTTCTTCAGTTTGGCTGGCGAATGGTCTCATGTTCTTGAAGGATGTTCTTCAGTCTTAGGTCCAGCCGTACCGGGGAAGTGGTCTGGACGGTCTGGACCACTTCCTGGTGCCAGGTTGTTCACCCCAGGTAGGTTTTAACGGAAAGCGCTCCGGCCCAGGGTGCTCTTTTAGTTGGGAAATTTGCCTTCGGTGCCTCTACTGAAAGAGGCCGGCGGATTCTTTCCTGGATAATAGCGAGGTCGAAGGAGGCCGGCGCAGTATTTGTTGAGGATGTCTCAGGCGAAACGCTTGTTTTTGAAATTCCGTTCGATCCATCAACGCATGCGGGTTCGTTGGTCGATCGTGTCGGACGGTGCCAGATCGGAGTGGTCTGGACCACAACCTGGCGACTGGTTTTTCGTCCCAGGTAGTTGTTGGACAGTCCTGGGGCCAGGCGAAGGCCCCCAGACGCCGCAAACGACGAGGGACGTGGGTGCGGGGTCCACTGTGTTTGGATCCGCTGGATACGGTCCGACGTCGATTCTGGCTGGCCCGATCCGACTCGACGCCGCCATGCCGACGATCCAAAGCGGCCCGATGCTAGAGGAGGAGGAGGAGGAGGAGGAGGAGGAGGAGGAGGAGGAGGAGGCGGAGGAGGCGGAGGCGGAGGAGGAGGAGGAGGAGGAGGAGGAGGAGGAGGCGGAGGCGGAGGAGGCGGACGCGGAGGCGGAGGCGGACCTCCCCGCCTCCCTTCTCCCCCGTCCGACGTATGGCGCCGGCGGGCATCCCGGCGCAGCCGATCTGCTTCGATCTCGCTCCCGTGCCGATGCAGCCTCATCGGACGCAGGCGTCGACCCGCTCCGATGCGGTGCTGGTATCCCGGCCGTGGCAGGAGAATGATGGGCCGATGTTGCACCACAAGGTAGGAGGGGGAGGAGGTGGAGGAGGAGGAGGAGGAGGAGGCGGACCTCCCCAGCCTCCATTCTCCCCCGTCCGACCCATGGTCGTGGTGGTGGAAAGTCGGCCCGTCAGGAGAATGCGCTGAAGGGCTACTCGTCCAGCCTGGAGGCCAAGAGGCCGCGGCCCGGGGCGGCTGCCTCGCGAGGGCGCCCAGGGGGGGGGGGGGCGGGGGGCTGCCGCGCAGGCGCGCGTGCCCTCTCGGCGCACCTCGACGCGCCCTCGGCCGCGCGGGCGTTCGAGGGCCGAGCCCGGGGCGCACGCCGCTCGAAGCGCAGGAGGTCTTGGGTGTTGCTGGAGCCCCCCCCAAAGCTCCTGCCTGGCAGGAAACTCCGCGCGTCCCCCGGTTCGCCCTGTCCTTGTCCTCCTCCTCCTCCTCCTCCTCTTCCTCCTCCTCCTCCTCCTCCTCCTGATCCCTTTCTCCTCCTTCTCCTGATACCCTTTTCTCCTCCTCCTCCTATTCCTCCTCATTCTCCTCCTCCTCCTCCTCCTCCTCCTCCTCCTCCTCCTCCTCCTCCTCCTCCTCCTCCTCCTCCTCCTCCTCCTCTTTGTCCTCCTCCTCCAGTTGGGCCTCCCTGATGGGATCCGAGCATGTTTGTCGGAGGATTGGGCCCAAGTCCGCCCGAACACGTTACACATTATACCCAAAAGAGCCCTGGGGGGCGGGCGAGGGTCCTGGTCGTGGGTCTGGTATGCACAATTCCATCCCTGGGGCGTGGCTTCTGTATGCTAAGCGTGGCCCCAGGAGGTGGAAACTGACTGGGGCGGGGAGGGTGTGTTACAAAAAAATCCGAAGGATCTCCCAGATGGGGTCGGAGTAGGTGGGGTCCGAGGATCGCTCCGCATCGCCGATGCATCTGCGATGCTGCTCGATGTGGAGCCCGATATTCTCCATGCCGAGGGCGCCGGCCGATGCATCGCTGACGTCGCGGATGCATCGCCGATGCATCGGCGATGTATGGGTGATGCGGCGGGATCCCCCGACCCCTCCTGCGCGGACCCCATCCCGGCGGTGAGCGAGGGGGGGAAATGAGAAGGAGAGGGCCTTCTCAGAAGGCGGCGGGAGTTATCAGAATCCCTCGCGCTTTGAGAAGTTTTCTGTTTCTTCGGGGACGGTTCAGAAAGCTTCTCGGCAGAAGGCCGGGGGACTTCCCAGCCTTCTGAGAAGGCCCGCTGGCGGCCTTCGCGGGGCCGCGGGGCCGTCAAAGGACAAAGCTGGCCCCGCGGGGAAGGGTCGGGACCTCCTCCACCCTCCTCCTCCTCCTCCTCCTCCTCCTCCTCCTCCTCCTCCTCCTCCCTCCTCCTCCTGCTCCTCCTCCTCCTCTTCCTGCTCCTCCTCCTCCTCCTGCACCTCGAGAGCAGCCCCTCCACTTCCGAGGACCCCACATCGGTTTATCAGTTTATCAAGGCGTCGGATATCCGGGAGGGGTGAGCGCCAACTGGTCGGACAGTTCCCCTCTGGCTGACACGGGCTGGGGCTGGGGCGCGCATAACCTGAGATCATCCGCAGGAACGCGAAGGTCAGAGACATTCCCGTATCCCTTGGCGATACAAGGGCGCTCTTGGGGGGGATTTGGGCTGGCAGTTAGCGTCATGATTCGCGCCAGCGCTGTCTGGAAATGCCTAGGAATGGCTAGTTCCCAGACGGCGCCGGCGAAAATCGTGACATCAATTATCAGGAACGGGCGTTACCATTGCGAAGAATACAAAAGCGGCTCGATCGGCGCTTCACGAGGCCTGGGCCAGAGTGGTTGCCCTTCGTCTGGGGAGCGGCGGGAGGGCGCTAGGGCGCGACGATGATCGCGCGTCGCGCAGGGGCGCGATCCCTGACATCCGCCGATCACATTGTTCAGTCCGCGGCTCCAAATGTCCCTACCGCTTCCCGGGGGGTAGGTCTTCGTCCCGGATCCACTTTGATTGGCCCCAGTGCCCGACAGGTGGGCCCCAGAGGCCGACATCGGGGAAATATCCGAATGGTAAAACCAGGGGCTTGCAGAAGGGGGGGTGGTAAGCGGGGCGGTAGGCAAAGGGGTGTTTTCAATGGTGTAAGCTGCTGTTTGGTTTCGACCCAGTCGGAACGTGAGAGATAGGGGATATATGGAAGCATTGGGCTGAACGGCATGCGTGGAATGCTCAAGCAGAAACGTGGGTGAAGAACTGATTGCAAGCATCATGTGGTAGTGCGAGGTCCCCCCCGCCCAGAGTCATGATGACGCATCGACGTTTTGTCGTCCCGATGCATCACGCACTAGTGCGAGATAATTGCCTCGTCACGCCTTCCTCGCCCAGGCCAGGCCAGGTGCTCAGAGATTTCGACGAAGCCAACGAATCCAACTAGGACCTTGCCCATGCTCGAATGTTGCCGCGTCGCTCAACATCAGCAGTTCGCGTTTGCTTGTTGCGTTGCGTGTTTGGCCCACCTGGAACATTTTGCGAGTTCTGCCCATGGCGTTGGTCCCCCAGCCTACGCCCTTGTCTACGATCGCCCCGTCTGCAAGTCCTTGGAACAAATCATATTGTCGGGGATTTGGGATGCGCGATGCGCGAATTTAGGTAGCCTACAGGTAACAGGGGTCAGCGCTCACGGTGGTCCCTCTGCTGACCCCTGTGTTGGGGCGCCACCTTAGCGACGGAAAAAACGAGGCCGTCTTCACCGACAATGGCGCGTAAGTTGTCCGCGGAAGGTCGCGCGTAAGCGCCCTCTTACCCCGTTCCTTCTGGTCCTCCCGACCCCGTCCTCCCGACCTCGTCCTCTTCGTCTGCCTCCTTCCCCTCCTCCCTCCTCCCCACCCCTCCCTGTTTAGGTCGACCCCCGACCCACGTCGGACGGGGCCAGGACGAGGCTCAATCAGTTCCAGAGCGTTCTGGAACGCCCTGAGAGCGCTCCGGAACGCTCTGAGAAGGCCGCGGCGCCCGACGAATCCTCCAGAGCCGCCAGATCTCAGAGACTCTCGATCTATACCCACCCCCGAATTTGTCCTCGTCCTGGCTTCGCCTCACAGTGGATACTACCCATGCCAAGAAACAGCCTGCTTGCCTCCAGGGTGTCCTGGGTTGCTTGGATTCCGATGGTTCTGCGATGGAAAGCAGAATTTTCCCACACCAGAGATCAATGGACGTCCCGGGGTTTCAGGGTTGGGTTTCTTGTGGAAGGTTTCTTGCAGTCGAGCTCCTACTGTACCACGTGTGGGGAGGGGGAGGGGGGGGGGGGGGGGGGGGGGGGGCAAAACGCCCAGGCTACAAAAAGCACAGAGAGATATCCTCGAGGCGGCTTCCAGACCCGCCGGATTTAAGAGACTCTCGATCTGTACCCACCCCCGAATTCAAGAGGTTCTCGAATTTGTCATCGTCCTGGCTTCGTCTTATACCAGGGCTGGACCTCAACAGTGTTTTGGTGATTTCGTGGGCTGTTTTCGTTTCGACTTCGTGTTACGGTAAAGGCGGAGGATTGAAGACCAAACGAGGGAAAACGAAAACAAAACGAAAATGAAAAACAGCGGTTAGGTTCAGCCCTGTCTTCTACCACATCGGGGGGAGACAACGCCCAGGGCTGCAATAAACACGGAGAGAGATCCTCGAGGCGGATGCCCCCCCCCCGGGGGCCCTCGCGGGGCGGCCGCGGCCCGGGCCCCGCGGGCCCGGAGCGGGCGGGTGAACGCCCTGATGGCCAAGCTGGCGGGCGGCGAGCGCCTAGAGCGAGAGGAGGACCCCTCGATGGGGGAGGGGGAGGGAAGAGGGGAAGGGAGGAGGGGGAGGAGGAGGTGGGGGAGGAGGAGGAGGAGGAGGAGGAGGAGGAAGAGGAGGAGGAGGAGGAGGAGCGAGGAGGAAGGAGGAGGAGGAGGAGGAGGAGGAGAGGAGGAGCGAGGAGGAGGAGCGAGGACGAGGAGCGAGGAGAAGGAGGAGGAGGAGGAGGAAGAGGAGGAGGAGGATGAACAGGAGGAAGAGGAGGAGGAGGAGGAGGAAGAGGAGGAACAATGAGGAGGAGGAGGAGGAGGAGGAGGAGGAGGAGGAGGAGGTGAAGGAGGAACGAGGAGGAGGAGGAGGAGGAGGAGCGAGGAGGGAGGAGGAGGAGGAAAGGAGGGAGAAGGAGGAGGAGGAGCAACGAGCGAGCTGCGAGGAGCGAGGAGGTCTCGGCCGTGGGCGTGGACGGCCTCGCGTTGAGGCTGCGGTCGTGTTGGCCCCCGCCGTCGCCCGAGCGCCGCGCGGTGACTTCCATGTGGCCGCCCCACCCATTTCGCCACACACCTCACGCGTTCTGTGGCCCCATAGGGTGCTCCACCTGAGGCCCCAGTGGCCGTGTCCGCATGTGGCCCCAGTGGTGTCGCTCGCATGTGGGCATCACGCTCGTTTCGGCACACCCATCATACGTTTTATGGCCCCGTGGGGTGCTCCACCTGAGGCCCCAGTGGCGACGTTCGCATGGCGGCCCCGCCCCCTTTCGGCACACCCGTCACCATAGTGGGTTCTGCCTCAGGCTCCAGTGGCAGCGCCCTCATGGCGGCTCCGCCCCATTTCGGCACACCCCTCGCACGCTTCGTGGGGGGCTCTACCGCAGGCCGCAGTGGCAGCGCCCGCATGGCGGCCTCGCCCCATGTCGGCACACCACTCACACGCTGCTGGGCCCGATAGCCCACAACTATGGCTGTTACGATCCGCCGAAGGCGATACCCACAACGATGGCGCTCCAACCGAATGATCCACCGAAGGCCATTCACACTTTTTGGATCCACCGAGGGCGATACCCACAAGGATGGTGCTCACACCTGCAAATGCTTGGGCCCTTCGCCAGGACAAGTTTAATGGCCCCTACGTAGGCACGCTCAGGGGCCAGAGGGGCCCGAAGTCGAGAAAAAAACCCAGCCACTCCAACAATCGAGAAGCCCTCTCGATTCCAACAGATCATTTCGCCGAAGTTCTATAGGATCCTTTTCTCGATCCCTCTCCCCTTTCCCTGAGTAGAGATGCAGCTCACGTTCGCGCGGCTCCGGAACGAAGGGTCGGGCGCTTGCTCCGTTCTGCCGATGCGCCGTCGGGGCGCGGCTCTTGCCTGACTGGCTGCCTCCCTTCCTCCCTTCCCCTCCCGGAGGAGATCGAGATGATCCGGTGCATGACCGAGTCCAACGACATGTGGCGCGCGACCAACCTGCGGCTCCGGTTCGCCGACGACTTCCAGGCGGTCGAGCTCTTCATGCTGATGGAGGCCTTGCTGCAGCAGGAGGGCCTGTCCGTGGACATCTCGAAGGGTAAGAAGCGGCACACGCATAGATCGGAAGGAACGACTTGGTGGTTAGTGCGATAGTGGTTACTGCTGTCTGCTTCCGCACTCAGAGACTCTGCCCAAGAAGACTCACGTAAGCGCCATTTCGTAGCCCGCATGGTGGTGGGACGGTCATGCAGGCGATGCGGTCCACACAGGACCCCCGCCAGACCTGACCACCATTTCGTAAACTGCATGGTGGTTGGCCGGTCATGCAGGCGGTCCACAAAGGACCCCAGTACCCCCGTCCCGCTGACCACCATTGGGGTTGCGCAGTGGCGGTCAGGGATGTTGGTTTCATATCCAGCTGCCTGCGGCAAAAACCCCCCACGTGCCCTAGAACAATTGTGCAACAGCGCAGCAGCAAGGAGTTTGAACTTCTTACGCTGCGCGTACCCCCACCAGCCCATCCAGAAACGATGCCCAGGTGAGCTGCCCTTCTCGGGGGAGCGTGGCATCATCTGGAGGCCTCGGAGAGCCTCTGTACAGAGGCTTCTTAGATGCCTCTTGGGAGTTTGGGATGTCTCTCGGGGGCACTTGGAGGACTCTTGGGTCTTGGGGGCGTCTTGTGGGGGCCTCCTGGCGGCTCTTGGGGGCCTCTTGAGGCGCCCGAGGGGGCCTCTTGGAGGCCTATCTTGGGGGCCTCTTGACGGACTTCGGAGACTCTTGGGGCGTCTTGCGTATCTCTTGGGGGGCTCTTGGGGACATTTGGAAGCCTCTTGGGGGCCTCTTGGGGTTCTCTTCGGGGCTTCTTGGGCGCCCCTCGGGGGGGGCCTGTTTTGACAACTCTAGGGGGGCTTGTTTTCGGCCCCTTGTAGTTATATTGAATCGCTTCGCTCATTCCGCCGGTCCATATTGCCTCGCTGATGTCGTTTGTCGAGGTGTTGTTGTCAATGCGGTCACGATCGTTCGACGACTCGGAGCCCTCTTGAACCGTCTTGGGCGCCTCTTGGGGCCTGTTGGATCGCTCTGGGGCGCCTGAAAGCCGCGCCCACGAGGAAAACCATCTCTGGCCCGACCGACCCTGCCAGGGACCTGGCTGGGGTATTTTGCGGCCCGGGACCCCTAGGGGCCGCCCCGCGCGCGCGAAGTAGAAATACTGTGAAGCAGTTACCCGAGATCTTAGCACGCCTCTGACCGTGCCTGGGTGGTGGGTCAGAGGCTTCATGGATGTTGGTGGGGCTCTCGTTGTTGGCCTCTCGGGAGGCAGTTTTGAAATCTCTTGGGGGCCGTGTTTGGGCCTCTTGGGGCCTATTGGTGGCCTCTTGGGGCTTCTTGAGGTGCCTCCTGGGGGCCTCTTGGGGGCCTCTTGGGGCCTCCTGGGGGCCTCTTGGGGCTGAAGGTTGGACTTTTCGGTTCCTGGTCACCTTCTTGGGCCCCTCTTAGGGGCCGTTTTGGGGCCGTCTTGGGCCGTCTTGGGCGCCTCGTGGGCTGTCTTGGGGCCCTCTTGGAGGCTTCTTGGGCCGTCTTGGGGCGACGACGAACCACCCCACACCCACGGGGGAGGGGCGGGAGCGCACCGGCACGCCCACAGGGCCACGACCACAGAGGGGGGGAGACACGATCCTATTCGCGAGGCCTTCGCGAGGCTCACGGGCGTACCCATCCAGCGGCGGGGGGGGAGGCTCGATCCCATATGCATTGGAGGGGGAGGGGGGAGGCAGCCCTGGATCACATCTTGCGAGAAGCACACTTGGGGCCCACACTGGCTAACGTTGTGATTTTGTATGGGAATGGCCACACATCGACTCCTGAGAGAGGTTCGCGCGCGATGAGTGGGGGACTGGCCCTAGAAAATATTGAACACACAACTTCACAAATAACTCAAGAGCATTCTAACACGCCCACCCCGTGCCGGTACGGTGGCTAATTTTTACGATTCCGATTGCTTGTGCCCATTGGCTCAATCACCACCACTCAACCACCATTGCGGAATTTCGAAAAAGACGTTTTCAGGCCTGCGCGGATCTCATGTGTCAGCGCTGGCCCCCTCCCGTTTCCCTCAGAGCAGGAACGGGGACCAGTGCCGCTATCCTTCACTCGTCGCCACGGCCAGATTTACTTCGAAGTTCTAGGCAAAAGGCGTTCCAGGAAAGCTCTGGGGGATATTCAACTCTCCTATCCCCCACGCGCTGCACCTGGCGCGCTCCGCGTGCCTGAGAGGGGGTGGGTCTGGCGCCAACCCAAGAAGTCCGCGCGGAGGTCTGCAGGGTTAAGTCTGTCGGGCGGAACTAGGACAGGGATAAAGTCGTTCCAGTGCGTCCCAGACTGCTCTCAGAGCGTTCTGGAACACTCTGAGAAGACCGCGGCGCCCAAGACTTCCTCCAGAGCCGCCAGATCTCAGAGATCCCCACATTGTCCCTGTCCTGGTTTCATTGTAGTCTGTGCCGCGTCTTGCCCTCCTGTGCGTGCTGGAGGCCATCGCGGCCTGGCAGCCGAGGGCGCTCGAGGCCAGGTTCGAGGGCCGACCCCCGCCTCCGCCTCCGGGGGGCCTGGACATGGCCGCGGTCGCCAGGGTGAAGATGCCCACGGCTTTGGGAACAATGCGCGTGCCAGCAGACGTGAGGCTCGCAGGAGGAAACGGCACCCATACCGCTACCCTTCCTCGCTTTCGCCTGGTTGGGCCTCCTCGGAGGCTCGCGTCGCCGCCGCTGGATTCGCCTCGAAATTCTGGTCTGAACGCACCCTGGGAGAGGTCCGGTGTGTCATTAGCGGTATCGGTGCTTCCTGGTTTCCCCAGAGGCCTTTCTCGATGTCGTCCGCGGCTCTTCAGAGCGATGTGATCCGCGAGGAGTACGAGTCCTTGATGCGCGACCACGACTTTCTGATAAAGTACGGTGGCTCCTATCGGTCTTTTGACCCGCGCGGGCAGGAGATATTTCTGGATCAGATGGCAGCCGTGGCCGAGCGCTGGGAGTTGTTGCTGGGACGGTTCCGCCTGATGGGGGAGCTCGACCCTGATTACACGGCCGTGACCGAGGCATTTTTTAGCGAGCTGGGGTCTTCCACCGACGAATTTTACGTGCTCCTGCGCAAGGCTCATTCGCTGATGCGCAAGCAGGCTGAGCAGGAGGGCTTGCAGCGATAGCGTGTCTGGCCCATGGCAACCAGTTATCTCTTCTTGGGCTGGACGAAGGGGTAGGATCGGAAAGGGGGGGGTACGACATTTGCTGCATGCAGCTGGTTTCCTCTGTACATGGGCGCCTCTCGGCGCCACGAGGCGCCAGGAAAGCCAGTTACGTGAGTCGATTCTCTACCCTGCCCTCTGCTATCCTACCCTTTCGTCCCCCCGATCCTGGTATACTTCTCAAGCAGTGCTTGCACTAGCGGTATCGTTCATTGTTCAGAATTGGCATGCGGTGCCGGGTACTGCGGCTGGTGGTGGCCCGTGGTCGCACGTGGGCGCCTCGAGCACTGGCTTGTCTTCTGGGTTTTGGCCACATAGCTCGCACTACACTACATTGCGTGCACCACATTGCTTACTACGACGTAGCTTCCGCATCGCTTGCACCGCATTGCTTCCACCGCATTGCTTGCGCCGCACTGTTTCCGCCACACAGGTCAGCCCCGCAGCTTCCGCCACGTAGCTTTCGCTCGCACTGAGTCCACCACACGTCTTGCACCGTGAAGATTGTGCCACTTTGCTTCCACCGCATAGCTTGCACCTGATTGCTCCCACGGCATTGCTTGCATACCCACTCTGTGCAATTCAGGTTTAGGGCTGCACGCTGGCAAACGTAATCATGTAATCATGTGTTTGCCAGCGTGGATCCCACCAGTCAGTGATTGTATTGTGCATGCGCGGGCTATATTGTGCAATCTAGGTGCTGCAAGCTGTGTTGTGCAATAGATGTGGTGCAAGATATGTGATGGCTGTTGTGGAAGCTGTGTGTTGTAGGCGATGTCGTGTGAGCTATGCGGTGCAAGCTATGTAGTGTACGCCAGGTGGTGCAAGCAATGCGGCCCAATGCAGGTGGTGTAAGCTATGTGGTATCATCGGTGTCGTGTAAGCTATGTGGTGTAGGCCAGGTGGTCTGAGCAATGCTGTCCACTGTATGTGGTGTAAGCAATGTGGTGCAAGCTGTGTGATGTAAGCTGTGTGGTGTAAGCTATATGGTGCAAGCTGTGTGGGAACGCTATGTGGGAAACAATATGCGGCGAATGCTCTGAAGTGCATGCTATGTGGTGCAGCTACGTGGTCCAAGCCATGCGGCCGCCCAGCGCACGAGGCGACCGCGAGGCGCCCAGAGGGCGTGCACCTGGCAAAAGGTCGGCACACCCACCCCGCGCACGAGGCGCCCACGGGCGTTCACCGACCAGGCAACAGGCGAAACTTTGGCACACCAATCCAAGTCCTCAGATCACCTAAGTAAGATCACCTAAGCGCAAACACTTGAGGATCGACACATCAACAGAACCACGCCTTTGTTTTGAACAATTAGAGGCGTCGCGGCCGATCAAGCAAACCAACGACCATGACGTCGCTCGCAAATAACTCAAGATCATACATGTTGTTGCCTTCTCCTTCCTCCTCGTACGCCTCTGCCTGCCGGCCGCCTGCCGCAGGCCTGTGGCCGCCTTGCGGAGCTGGCGCACCCATGGGCGGTTTGCAGGCCACCGTATACCTCCACTGGTGTCCGTGTCTGTGGCAGTACAGTCGGACCGAGGAGGTCGGTTCGAGGAGGGTGCCCCAGTGTTCTTCGTGTTGGTGGGATGATCTTGTGCATCCTGGGGAGGGTACCCTTAGATGTTCTGTGTATTTTCACCGGCGGTGTGTGTGTGTCACATTCTTGAAGAATGTTTTCCTGGCCTGGGTTCGTCTGCACTGACGCGCCTGTTGGAGATGGCTGCTGGTATTTGCTGACTGCCAGAGTCTCTGCGAAGTTCGCCCAGCTGGTGGCGTTCACCGTCGTCTCTCTGTATCTGCTTCGCTGAGGCCGTGGCCGGTGTGAATTGCCCCAGAGCGTGCTGCACGAGTGGCCCTTGCAGGCCATGCGGCCAGCCCGCGACGGGCCTTGGTGCCGCGCCGCCCTCGAGGGCCATTGGCCATGGGCATGGGCCGGTCGCCCTGTGTCGGCGGGCGTGCTTGCCCCACTCGCCGCGGCGGTCTGGCCTCCCCGTCCTGGCGCGCGGCCCCTCGAAGCCGGGCCGGCGTGCTGGCTGCGGGCGGAGACGTCGAGCCACCGCCGCCTCCTCGCCGCGCACTCCAGAGCCAGGGGCGAAGCCAACCGGGTAACAGACCAGCTGGCGTCGTCTGTTCAACCATCCGTGGCGTGCCATTGCGCCTCCGCCCTGCGGCGGTAGACGATCGACGACCGTCGCAAGGCGCATTTGCCGATCGGCGATCGACCATGGTAGGCGACGCAGACCGCCGACGATCGAACATCCCCTATCCGATCACGACAGCGCCCCAGCCCGGCGAGCAGGTCAGGGCGCGGAGGGAGCGACAACCACTCCTGTCGAGAGCCCCATTGGCAACCGCCCCCGTCGGCGCCTTGACAGCAGCGGGCGGCGGCGCAGTCGCGAGCTCATGCCGGCCGCGTTCGGCGCGCGACAGCGACGATGATCGACGATCGACGCTGTCAGGCCATCAACGACGCTGGGTGCCGGTACACCTGCGGCCGCGACCAGCTGCTGACGGAGGCGGCTGGCGCCCGCCAGTCATCAACGTCCGTCGTCGGCCGTCGTCGTCGTTGTCGTTGACCCTGTCGGTGTCGTCGTCGTTGTCGTCCTCGTCGCTGTCGATTGTCGTCGTCGTCGTCGTGTTCGTGGCCGTCGATTGTCGGTGTCGCTGGTTTTCGTCGTCGTTGGATACACGTCTAAATAATAAGTTCCGCGGGCTTGGCTTCCAAACCCGACCCAAGAAGGCCCAATTGCGACGACAACGGCTCCCACTCGATGCTTCCTCACAATTTACTCCGAGGTGTCCTGGCCATAGAGGCCCCAAAACTCAGGAATGCCGCGTTCGCCCGAGACGTCTTCGCCATTCAGTCAAGTTGGCGACGGTGCAACTACAACGACAACGGTTCCCGCTCGATACTTCCTCACAGTTTGTTCCGAAGCATTCTGGCCAGAGAGGCGCCACAACTCGCGCACTTCAACTAATTTTGTTGGTCAGGGTCGATGATCAGGGTTTGTTATGCTTGGGCGACAAAGGTTGCCGATTGATACTTCGCCACACTTTACTCCGAGACGCCCTGGCCAGAGATGCTCCAAAACCCGCCCATGTCAGTCAAGTCGCGAAGACCCAACTACGACGACAACGGCTCCTGCAAGATACCTCCTCGCTATTTACTCCCACACGCTCTGGCCGGATGCTGTCTCACACTCAAGAAAGGCGCTCTGTGCCTAGTGTTTCTCCCAGGAGCTGTTATGAAAAGAAGCCCCCCACCCCCGAAATGAGGCTGTTTTGTGGATTCAGAGTGCGGGCACAAGGAGGGGGAAAACAAAGGGAAGGTGAAGCATCTTTGTAATTCATATCTTCGCAAGACGGTCGTCGTCGTTGGTATTATCGTCGTCGTTGTCGTCGTCGTCGTCGTTGTCTTGGTTGTCGTCGCCGATGTCATTGTTGTCGTCATCGTCGTCGTTGATGTCGTTGCCCTCGTCGTCGATCGAGGCTCCAGGTTCACAGTTCGAGGCTTTCTGGCGATTTCATTGCGTTGGGGGCGACATCCAGAAACCTCTAGAGGTCTCGAGACAAAGTCTGTCGTCGTCTGTCGTGGTCATTGTCGTCGTCGACGTCGCGGTCGGCTGTCCTAGACCGTCCTCGATTATCGATCGTCGTCGTCGATCGTCGTCCCTCGTCGTTGTCGATCGTCGACGTCGCGGGGCGTTCTGGGCGTCCCTCGAAGAGCTCGTCGCCGTGGCCGGGCGCAGCTCGAGACGTGGCCAGGACGGATTCCTGGAGGGGTTCAGAGACCAGTTTTGATTGGACGTCTGTCGACGTCATCCACGTCGTCGTTCGACGATCCAGATTCGAGGACAGAAGTGTTCGGGGCCTTTTTGGGGCCTCTAGGGCGCCCTTGATGGCCAGAACGCGCCCCAGCACAGGTTTAGAAGTCGTCGCCGTCGCTGTATTCGTCGTCGTCGTGCGTCGTCGTCGTCGTTGTCGTCGTCGTTGCTGTTGTTGGTGATGATGTTGTTGCTGCTGTTGCTGCTATTGCTGTTGCTGTTGCTGCTGGTGCTGCTGCTGTTGTTGTTGCTGCTGCTGTTGTTAGTGTTAGTGTTAGTGTTAGGGTTAGTGTTATTGCTAGTGTTAGTGTTAGTGTCGAATTCTCATTTCAATCGGAAAAGTATTGTTGATCCCCCTCCGGTAATCATAGCGTTTTGCAACTAAAGTGACTACCCTTTTGTTCGCAACCTGTTCTGTACAAGGGAAAGCGAGGGGTCTTGGAGCAGCGCCCCTGGCCCCGGAACTACAACAACGGCTCCCGTCGGATATTTCTTCACGATGTATTCCCAAATCGCGTTCTCGCGCGGGACCTCCTCACGATTTATACAGGAATCGCGCTCTCGCGTGTAACTCCATCACAATTCATTCAGACGCCGTGCCCTCTACACTCAGGAGCACGGTTTATTTGGGAATCGCGCTATCGTTCGAGATTTCTTCGCCATTCATGCAGGACCCACGCTTCAGCAACCCGCCTGCCCCTTGTCCCTTCCATTCATCATCTCCTCCCCTGCCTTAGGGGCTTCACGAAATGCACGCTGCAGGTAAGAAAGATATACCCAGAAGGGAGTAAGATCGAAGACGAAGAGGGCGGGCATGGAGGGTTTGGGGTATAGGTGGAATGGCGCGCGAGCAGATCCGAGCGAACAGTCTCAAAATGATGATTGTTGCTGCTGTCGTTGTTGCTGTTGTTGATGAGAACGTGTTCCTGGGGTCTGGATGCGCATTAAAGGTCTGGATGCGTTGCGCCCGGGGGGGGGGGGCGCAACGCGCAACCGTGCAACGCTCGAGCGCGTTCGTAGCTGGGTTGCGAACTCGGGTGGCGCCCCCCATTGCGCGTCTCGTGAGCCTTTCGCTGGACGCCCCACAGCATCGGATCTGTATAGGATGATTGTGCAGGCCGTATGGCATTGTTTCGGATCTCATACAAGCCGCATGGGATCTGTCTCGGATCCCATAGAGGCCGCATGGGCTTTGTATCGGATCCCGTTCAGGGCGTATGGGATCGTTATCGGATCCCATACAGGCCGAATGGGATTTGTATCGGATTCCATACAAGCCGCATGGGCATTTGTATCGGATCCCAGACACGCCGTCTGGGATCTGTATCGGATCCCAGGCAGGCCGTCTGGGATTTGCATCGGACCCCATACAGGCAGTGTTGAATTGAACTCAGATCCCATACAGGCCGCGCGTGATATGTATCGGGTACCATAAAGACCGTATGGGATGCGTATCGGATCCCATACAGGCCGTACGGGGTTTGTCCAGGATGCTTCATACAGGTCGCATGGGATCTGCATTGGATCCCATACAGGCCGTGTGGAACTGCATCGGATCTCATTCAGGCCGTATCTGATCTGTATCGGATCCCAGACACGCCGTCTGGGATCTGTGTCGTACCCCAGGCAGGCCGCATGGGATTTGTATCGGATCCCATATAGGCAGTTGGGATCCGTATCGGGCTCCATACAGGCCGTATGGGATCTGTATCGGATCCCATGTAGGCCGTATGGGATCTGTACCGGATCCCGTACAGGCCGTATGGGATCCGTATCGGATCCCATACAGGCCGAATGGGATTGCATCGGTATGGGATTTGTATCGGATCCCATACAGGCCACATGGAACTTGTATCGGATCTCAGGCAGGCAGGGCGTACTGGATCTGTATATGATCCCATACAGGCCGTATGGGATTTGTATCGGATACACTACACGCTGCATGAGATGTGTATCGGACCCCTTACAGGCCTTATGGGCTCTGTATCGGACCCCGTTCAGGCCGTGAGGGGTCCGTTTCGGATCGCACGCAAGCCGTATAGGATCTGTATTGGATCCCATACAGGCCGTATGGGATGTGTATCGGGCCCCATACAGGCCATACGGGGTCGGTCTCGGGTCCCAGTCAGGCCGTATGGGATCTGTGTCGGATCCCAGACAGACCGTATGGGGTTTGTGCCGGATCCCACACAAACCGTATGTGATTTGCATCGGGCCCCATACAGTCCGTATAGGGTCTGTCGCGGATCCCGTACAGGCCGTACGGGATCTACACAGTTCGTGGCTCCACAAGGGACACAACCGAAGGCTTCGGGTCCACTGCGGCACACCCCTCACACAGTTCGTGACCCCACAGGGGGCACAACCGAACGTTTTGAATCCATTTCGGCACACCCCTCACACGTTTTGTGGCCCCACAGGGGGTGCAATAAAAGGCCTCTGGTCCAGTCCGACAGCACCTTCACACGGCTTGTGGGCCTACCGGGGGCGCAACCGAAGGCCAGTAGGTCTTGTAACATCCGTATAGAATTCCCAGTAGGTCCTGTACCATCTTTGCAAAGTTCCCAGTGGGTCTTATACCACCCTTCTAGATTTCCCAGTAAGTCCGGTACCATCTCTATAGAGTTCCCAGTAGCTGTTGTACCATTCCTAAAGACTTCCCAGTAGGTCCTGTACCATCTTTGTAGAATTCCCGCTAGATCTTGTATCATCCTTATAGAGTTCCTATGTAGGGCCTGTATCATTCCTACAGATTTCCCAGAAGGTCTTGTACCACCTTTTATAGATTTCCCGGTAGGTCCTGTACGATCCGTATAGAATTCCCAGTAGGTCTTGTACCTTCCCGGTAGAGTTTCCCAGTAGGTCTTGTATCATTCCTATGAAGTTCCCAGTAGGTCTTGTACCATCCCTTTAGACTTCCCAGTCGTTCCTGTTCCATCCTTATAGAGTTCCCAGTAGTTTCTGTACTATCCTTTTTGAGTTCCCAGTCGGTTCTGTACCACCTCGTCTCGATTTCCCCGTAGGTCCTGTACCTTCCCCATCGAGTTTCAAGTAGGTCCTGACCACCCCTACAGAGTTTCCAGTAGGTCCAGCTCCATCCCTATAGAATCCATCCGTCCTGCACCATGAGTTCCCAGGAAAAGCTCGCTTCGTTAGCGCGCACATCGATGTTGTGCCCTGAATCCCATAGCAAACCTTGATGGTACTGATTTACAAAAACTTCAGATAGGACCGGAAGTGACGCTGTTTCGGTTGCGCCCCTCCCTCCCCCCGCAGTTGGGGGTTGGTTCCCAGGAGACTCCAGGGTCCTGGTGCCCTGGGGGCAGGGCACCAGCAAGCCGTTTTCACTTTGTTGTTGTTGTTGTTGTTGTTGAATTTTTGCCTCTGAGGAATAATTATTCCGACGGTGGGACCCCACACGAAGAGCCATTTAGATTACCTTTCGCTCTTTCTTCTTCGCCTTGGCCGAACCCCCCCGTCCCACCCTCTGTTGCGCCTCCTCCTCATCATCTTTGTTTCCTCGTCCTCCGTCTCCTCCTGCTGAGGGGCGCATGCCAGTTTTCCTCGACGCCCTCGCCGCCACGCCCGGCAGGGGCGCGTTCTCCGACGGCAATATCGCCAAGCCGTCGGGGCAACGGCCGTTGGGACCCGCTCGGATGAACAACATGAAGTACGGACCCCAAAGGGGGCGT